GCAACAACCATTCATGCAGATAATGACCTGAGTACTTCAAGTCCGGTGCAAAAACGCATGATCGCAAGGGCCCGTCGGTGCGTTCCAGCCTGGGTTTGTTTATGCAAAAAAGCATGAAAATAACCAGAGGGTGTTTTTATGCTGCCCCTGAAATGCACTTTTTTATGTCAAGTGTCGAATTTTGCAAAGCAGAAAATATTTTCTTGTGCTTATAAAAGCGCTGTTGACTAACCCGTCCGAAGACCAGCTTTTGTATGTCCAAACTTAATTTCTATCCGATTATTATCAAAAGTCTCGGCACAGATTCTTGTTCTTAAATGTTGCAATTCGAGACGAGTGGTAGGGTTAAGCTCAAATTAACCTCAGCTTAACTTCGAAATAACCTCAAAATTTCATGCGAAATCATACTTTACTGGTCGAAAAATATTTACTTGCAGCTGAGATCCAGCAGCTCCACATTCAGAGGTTTTCTTCCGGCAAGGTCAATTCCGCAATTTGCAGGCATAGTGGCTGCTCGTTACGCTTTCCTCACCGCTTATTTATGCAAGACTAATACACGTGTATGGGCGTAAAAGACTAGTTCCAAGCCATATTTGACGAAACCGCTTGAATTCCCGCGGTAAAAAGTATAGAGCCAGGTGTCTGTGTCTCGCTTAGAGTTGTAATAAGCCATCAAGTAAATGCCTTTAAGCACCAACAAATCATTGGCCACTTTAAAAAACAGGATAGTGATAAATTGGCAGCCGACGAGAGTAAGAAGCTGCGGGATGGTCTTGCAAATTCATGAGTGGACGGAATTTTGACCGGTGTTTGGCTGGAACATATAAACTAAGCTGAGAAGCATCATCCAACGACTATAAGAACAAATTAAGCTGAAACACAAAGCATTTCGTGAGGTCTTTTAAGCAAAAAATATTTTGCAAATTATCACTCCAGTAACTCTCTCGACGCTGTTTTCATACTTCTAGAATTCTCGTAAATCCTTGATATTTCGTACAAAATTTTCTTATTTGTATTAGTTTACAGAGCACAAAAACTGTTATCGGAGGGGGGTTGCTGGATTGAGAATTTCACCTCCGGAAAATTTGGAGGACACATAGGTTTTGCGTGCCTCATGAGTACCTCGCTATTTCACTAGGTTTTCGATTTATTTCAACAAGAAAACTCGAAAGCATACAGTGAAGCGATGCACTATTTTTAAGATGTCCATAGCTCTGGGTCCATGAAATGCTAATCCGGGAAATGCGAGAGAGTGCCCGAGATGCCTCTCATCCAAGGCCCAATAAGAAGGAGGAATGAAGAAGACTGATCTTCAATCGATTTTGCAACGTTCAATTCGGCTGCTGAACGGAACGGGAGGCACATTCACTGAACGTAAGAGAGGAACAGAAATGGATCCGAACCGATCCACAAAACATAGCTCAAGCAGTGACGAGAGCTGCTTTTCCTCCAGGCCCATCATTTCGACGCCTTTTGTTCCAAACTAGCATCCATCTCACTCCCACATTTTTTATAGTCACTCTAATGAGTCCCGATCAAGTGCTCAAATTCCCATCCCGGTGGGGTGACTGCAGCCGGGGCCGGCGCTTACAGCTGTCCTCCTTGCGCTTCCTCAGCTTTTTCTTGTCTTCGCCCCTCGGCCAAGTTGCTCTCTTGCTGCTTACGCTTTTAGTTGTCCCTCCTCCGGAGCATTGCCACATTCACAATTCTTAGTAATTCAAGAAAAGCAAAAGAACTTTAACAGGGAACGTTCGGAATAGACCACCAACGTTAGATACGTGCTATGCCTTGAACATACACTTCCAGATGTTTCTACCCAGATGTGATCAGGCCATGTCAAGAGGTAGTTGCAGTTTTGAGGCAGCTGCTAAGCTACAGCTGGGTCTTCCCGCCTCCTTCCCTCCCCCTTCTCGTAAAATGCAAAAAAATCCATGTGGAGCCCAGTGTGTGCCAAATGTTGAAATGTAGGTGAATTCGTGTAATTTCCAGTGAGCAGACATCAATTTTTATTTTATCTTTTTATTTATTTATTTTTATTTTTTTAGCAAAAAGGTCAATGGTTTCAAGCACTAAAAAATTGACCTGCGTGAAAAATATGCAATGGCAGAATCCGTGTGAATACCGAAGAACTGCTAACAACTAGCACTGAGCAGTGGGATATTAGAGGCACACTGCTGCATCCATGCTGCGTCGCCCACTAACCATTTGACCTGCTTTCATGGACATAGATCACAAACCTTCAGTTAAACTCTGCTTACTTGATTCATAATTTGACCAAAAACCTGTGCTATGTGCCCATAAGGCGGGGCCAACCGGTCAGTGAACGAGGGGGGATTGATACTTATATTGCGCTGCTCATCATTTTTGAAGCATACAATAAGGCACACAGCAGTGCACGAAACCCTGGTAACTGCAAGCATGCTAAGAGCACACTTTTGCCGCCAAAATTTGGCCATTACGGTCCAGTTGTGAACAACCTGACCAACGGTTGGTAATGCCGGAAGTCTACATGCCGGAGCATATTGAACAATATGTCACGGGGACCCTGCGTTTAACTGCTAAGTTTCAGGCTGGGTTGGACTTCAATCTATGTAAGGGAGAAATGGCGATGAAAAATCATATCGAGGCTAATTTTGTCGCGGTTTGTGTTATTTGTCGGGACAAAAACAGTTGGTATTTGAAGGGACATAATGAAACAAGATAGTAACCTTAAGAATTTGCTTTCAAATAAAGAAAGCCACTGGAAACTACAAGTGTCCAAATCTCATGTGTAAAACTACCAGAATTAATTTCTAAAGGGTTTTGAAAATTTCTATATTCCATCGGATCGGTGTGTTGCGGGGGTGGTTGAACGGTGTCAGCTAAGCATACTGCAAACACATAATCATTTTTTGCTATCTGCAAAGCAGACTTTTAAAAATATTTTTCCAGGTCAGAGACTTCCGGGTTTACAAGAGCATTTTGGATCAGGAAATCTGGTGATCATGTACTCTGCAGTTACCACAGAGCGGTTTTTCTTCAAATTTTTGAACGCAGCATTCTGAGGAATGGTACACAAATTCAAGCAGAAACTGGTTGTTTCCGCTGAATTTTTATATTACAGCTTTTCAGGGATCAGGGAACGAATCCAAACTGATGCGTCTACGGGAATTAGAAAGACACAATTCGCAATTCACTTGACCACTGACACGCAATCGCACGAAATTAAGAGGCGTTTGGGGATAAAGTCATTGGGACAAAGTGAAAAATTTAAAGAAAAATGATATATGGCGAAGTGCTTAATTACCGAAAATAAACCCTTTTCCTTCCTCACGCCAACAAAAAACAAAAAAAAAGAAAATACATTTAGATACGAGAGCACTTATGCACCTCTATTTTTATTTTGTACCACAGCGCATTTACAGGATTTCCAGCCTGCCAGAAACATGAACAATTTCCTCCTTGTTCAAGCTATTTTCTCCTGAGCTTGGAAATGTCCGTCCTTTTCTGAGGTTTGCCGTATTCAAGTACTGCGTGTGAAGCCGTCTGATTAAATCCAGAGTTTTCTTAGATATTCGTTCTTTTAAATCCTCGAAATTATCATTTACATCTGTGCTCAGTGGATGCAGTGACGATGCTTCAAGTTTTATGGCACCGGCTTCTGCTGACCCAGATTCTGATGACTGATCTTCTCCTGAAACAGAAGGGCTGACAAGTTCAATTTCTGTTTCTTTTTCAGTTGCCTGTTTTTATTCATAAATATAATTTCAGCTTGTGCACCGAAGTTGCCGATGTTTTACTGAAACACATGGCATCTTTTTCGGAATTGCTTGCTGCTTTCTTCTGAGAATTTTACAAATAAATGCGAGAATGAGTTTTAACTGGAGATTTCCAGTTCGATTAAGAATCTCAATTTGTGATTTCCTAGTTAATTCAGCTCAGAATAAAAACTTTTAAAATCAAGTTAACATTTGTCAGTACAAGGCTACATGCGTATATTTTCCGTAGGAATGGAAAGAAAGGGCGTTCATGCAGTTAACCCAATTCAAGTTTTGTGCAAAAACGCATGATCGCTCCGGCTCGCCTGGTG